GTTGTTTAAGCGACATACACCGGTATTGCGGTATTTTAAAAATTCATATCATAACAAAAATAAACACCGGTATTCGGTATGAACCGGTATACCGCCCAGCACTAATACTAATTATTGTCCTCTGATGAGTCATTTTTGTCCCTCAGGAGTTTCAGGTTGTTCTTGGCCGTCTCTGATTGTCTTTGTTTTGTCCAGGAGGAAAGCACGGCTGGACATCAGTCTCGGCTGCGAGCGGGTTTGTCCTGGGACAGCAGCGTCAGCGGACTCTCAGCGACCAGCCACATCGCAACACAGCTGGAGGGTGAGGAGCTCTCTGACATCCAGCCTGAGAATTATTCACACTCAGCCCAGACTGAATATTGATATGTTAGGACACTTAAAGAGACTGCCTTTCTGTTAGTAAAAAGTGGCAAATTCCTGCTGTATTTGTTAGATGTGTTTAAGATTTCGAATGCAGAATTTTGTCCCTAATCCTAACTAGGGCTGCACGATAAATCGCATGCGATATTTAACGAATATTCTATGGAAAAAAGCCGCTAAAAGGGTGTGAAAGTTGCTAAATCTAGTGCTAAAGTCGCGCTCGTGTGTGTGAGACGCGGGAGCTGATGGCAGCGGGCGGTGGATATTTGTGGCGGTCAGTGTGGATATTGTGGATGAGGTCTTCTGTGTCATCACGTTCTATTAGTTCTACAGCTTCAGTTTCGGAACTTTCATGCTTAGTAACACATACAGCTGTTCCCTCACCACAGTGCAACAGTGAAAAGAGACCCCTTTCAAACAGTGTCGCGTTCCCAACGTTGTTTAAGCGACATACACCGGCTGGTATTGTGGTATTTTACAAATTCATATCATAACAAAAATAAACACCGGTATTCGGTATGAACCGGTATACCGCCCAGCACTAATACTAATTATTGTCCTCTGATGAGTCATTTTTGTCCCTCAGGAGTTTCAGGTTGTTCTTGGCCGTCTCTGATTGTCTTTGTTTTGTCCAGGAGGTAAGCACGGCTGGACATCAGTCTCGGCTGCGAGCGGGTTTGTCCTGGGACAGCAGCGTCAGCGGACTCTCAGCGTTGTGTGAATGCTTGAAAGGCATTGAAAAGTGCTTGAATTTCTCTCTCAAAACATTGTACAAACTCTGAAAATGAATAATATAATAACATTCGACTATTTCTGCCACAACACCATGGTTATAGTTAGCATTACTAATTCTGATTTTCTATGTCAGTGCTGTTTGATCTGTTTATAACAGAATTCTGTGCTAAACTTGAATACATCGCTGCGTTGTACATTGCAGCGCTGTGTAGTAACAGTGTCGCGAAATCACCTTTGGTTCTGCAGCTGAATAACACGAGCACAAATCAGCAGCCTACAGAACACTCAGGCCTACTAGAGGAACTTTTGCCTATGCTTTTAACAAAAATACCACTGCAAAAACAACTAGACTAATATACATTTCAAATATTAAAGTGTTAAAGACAGGTTAACAGTCAGTAATAAAATAGGAACAAACAAATCAATTAGCAGTAGCATAAATTAAATACAACTGAACTGAATTACAGGTACAGAAACTAATTAAAAATGTAAAAACACTGCGTAGATTTCTTTTCATAAATAAAATATAGATTATTAATTAAAGTTATTAAAGATATTCAGTCGAGATCAGTGAATGATTTTCTTTTGTTCTTTGATTAATGACAGGCAGCGTGTTTATTAGACTGCTGTCTCTTTAACACTGAACTTTAAATACTGTACACAAGCGTTTTCTTTCTCATGTTTACGTTCACTTCAGACAAAAACGGCTGTTTATGACGATATACTGACTTGATAAATATGAAAGAAGTCAGTTCTGGCCCGGAACGATCTTTTCTGCAGAACGGACACAGATTGAGACCGATGTTCTCTGTGCTCGCGCTTCAGCAAACAAGGCACAAGTTTGCTAACTTACTAACTAAGCCTAACTAGCCGCGACACGCGAAATTTCTCATTTAGAAACGGTTTCTATTTCCGCGACGTCGCGGCTGGAACAACAACATACAAACTATATGACAGTAGATAATCTCAGGTGATTATGTGCTTTATTCAAAGTTAAACGTGTCTAATATGAGTTTAAATATAATTTTGTGTGACCTTGTAGCCATGATACTGAAAGCAACAATAGATAGTTTACTTCAGATCTAGAAAATAAATTAAAGCAAAGATGACCGTTAAAACTGTGGACTCACTGCGAACCGACGAGTGTATTCCATGACAAAGATGTTATCAGTCACTCAGTATGTACATTTAATGATGTTAAAAAGGTTTGATATTTATGAATTAGATTATAAGCATATCCATTTCGTTGCGAGTGCAGAGTGCTTCCACAGAGAGGCTCCGCCCACACACGCTTCTGATTGGCTGTGATATTTGATTGATTCTGTCGCGTCTAGTGTGGACACACAAATTGCTTGTCACTGGACTCTTGTCGCGTCGCGTGTAGTTAGGACACCGTGTTATACCTGATTCTTGGGAGTTTGGAACCGGTTTTCGATACCCAACCCTGCTGCTGATGGATAAACACTGTGCTTGCCGCAGGTCTCGTCCTCCGCTGGTGGTCCCGTTCAGAGACAGCAAGTTAACCAGGGTCCTGCAGAGCTTCTTCTGTGGTCAGGGCCGCTCCTGCATGCTGGTCAACATTAACCCCTGCGCCTCCACCTACGACGAGACGCTGCAAGCGCTCAAGTTCTCCGCCATCGCCACACAGGTAACAACATGACCGACCGTTTCATCTTTCCTCTTCTGGACACAGCAACATTCTCCATTCACACACACACACACACATGTCTCTTGTGTCAGCTGGTGCATGGGCCGTGCAGTAAGACGCAAGTGGCTTATATTCTGTCGCTGCTCCGTGAGCATCCCGCGCATCCCAACAACACCACTCCACTGGAGGAGGAGGAGGAGGAGGGAGACATCACCATGTTTGATCCTGAAGTAAATACACTTTTATTTCATTCACGGAGACGAGAGGACTGCAAGTTGTAGTCCTTTACTGATTCCAAATTACATGGCTAAAATTGTAGTTGGTAACATGCTTTAGGTAATATAAATTGGATTACTTTTGACCTAACTCGTTTATCACATTGATTTAAATGGGGTAATCTTGTACCATATTGATATAAAGAGAGAGAGAGTTATTAACAGCATTGAACATTGTATTATGTCAAGGTTTCTCAAACGGGGGTTCATTCAGGGGGTTTGTGAGTTTAATGAAAAGCTAATAATTAGGGATGTAACGATTCACTCAACTCACGATTCGATTCACAATTTTTTTTTTTAACAAAATGAGATTTAAGACAAATTATAAATTAAATGTGTCCTTTTATCATTGCTTGGACAAAATACTGTACGTTTCTTTGTAAAAATTGAAATATAACACTATAATAATATACTAATATAGCACTTGCATATGTGGATGGCAACAGAAAACTCTACAGTGTCACTTACATGGTCATTTGGCAGCGCACACTGTGTCCATCCGCTTCAGCCACAGCCAGTGGCTGCTTCTTTTAGCAACAGTGGCAAGCTCCCTGACTATCCTCCACTGGACCTGTCCTCTGATGCTCAACTCCTTCAGCAGCCTTATAGCGGAACTAACCACAAAGCCCCTGCAGCCCACTTTCACTGTCCAGCCCTGCTCCTCTGCCTCAGCTACCAAGTTGGCATATCACAGCTTCTTCCATTCAAAGGCCTCGTTAATGGCCTCTTCCCAAGGGACTGTCAGTTCGACTATTATGACAATCCTACTGGAGTTGGACCAGAGAACCAGGTCTGGGCACTGATTAGTGACAGCAATTTCAAATGGGAAAGTGAGTCTGTGGATTAAGTCGACTCGCATTTCCCAGTCCCTCAATATAAACAGGTACCTTTCCATCAGATGGGAAATGTAACTTTTTGAAAAATACCTACTGTGATGCAAATTTGTACTGTAACAACTAGGGATGTAACACTCAACTCACTATTCGATTCACAATTTTTTTTTTTTTTTACAAAATGAGATTTAAGACAAATTCTAAATTAAATGTGTCCTTTTATTATTGCTTGGACAAAATGCTGCATGTTTCTTTGTGAAATTGAAATATAACACTATAATAATATACTAATATAGCGCTTCCATATTATTGCTCTTTTGTTTGTTTTGATTGCTTCTGTTGTCCTCATTTGTAAGTTGCTTTGGATAAAAGCGTTTGCTAAATAACAAAATTTTAATTTAATGTAAATGTAAATAACAAAACTAAATTTAAATTTTAAAACAAGCCCCAAATCAAATAAATAAGTAACAAATAAAAGAAATCTCTTCATATAAGCAAACTAAGGCTTTGTCTGTGCTCTTTCCATTTAAAATTAGAGGCAACCACTGCATTTTAATCATGATCCAAACAAAGATGCTGCATACATGCAACATGAGCAGTTTTTAATCTAAATTCAATTGTATAATTTCAAAATTTGAAGCAAAAACAGAATGGTTTGACTTCAGTTTTGTGAAACTATGCATAGAAAATATCTGCATGAAACAGAAACAGCAGACAAGCTGAACGAGACGCAGATTCACTCTGCCAGCAGGTGGCGCTTAAAGTGTTTCCTTGGTTACCACTGAAAACAAAGCAGAGCTGTGCTTATGAACAGCAATGATACATTGTTTCCTTGGTTACCGCTGTAAACAAAACAGAGCTGTGCTTATGAACAGCAATGATACATTGTTTCCTTGGTTACCGCTGTAAACAAAGCAGCGCTCCACTTATGAACAGCAATGATACAGTGTTTCCTTGGTTACCGCTGTAAACAAAGCAGCGCTGCACTTATGAACTTTAATATGCGTTATACAGAAGCAAGATGAAAAGAAAAAATACCATCGAAAGACAGTAAGTTCCCCTCAGACAAACATTCATATAATATTTTACCCCTAACTGAATCGCGATTTTGTTTAGCATCTCAACCGATTTGAATCGTCACATATTTGAATCTATTTTCAACCGGTTCGCGGTTAATCGTTACATCCCTACTAATAATGAATTACATCATAAAAAAGTAAAATCAAAATAAATATAAATTAAATGAAAATAAAATGCTTAATAAAAAAGATTAAATATTGTATTTGTTTACCTGCATGTCATGTGACCATTAACCATCTTCAGAGAGCCATGAACATGCAAACATGCTACTTAATTATTAACTTATTACCTTCAAATCTCAGGGGCGCTTCAGGTGAATACATTAGGTGAAAGACATTCAGTTGACAAAAAAAAAGTTTGGGAATCCCTGCATTACATGTAAATAAGAAATAATGTGAATCTGTGCATTTTAATGTGTTTGAAAGACAAAAGCTTCCCAAAGACATAATAACACATGGTTAAATAACCCATAATTCAAGTAAACATTAATGTGTTCATCAGGAGCTGATGCAATGTTGAGAAAACACTGATTTGTGTAAATCCAGTGCTCAAATGCTGTGTGGCGTCTCAATTTTCTGTGTAATTATATCCATCTGATTAGTGTGTGTATAAGCGGTAGGTTATTTTAGAAAGGAAAATGTAAAAGATGAAAAAGAAGTATTGGGGAGAACCAATAAATCACGATTAAATTATCGCTATGGTGGGAATATGTAATCATCAAATCAATAATGTAACTAGTCTGATTACAAATATTAAAAAATGTAGTTTAATCTAATTACAAGTGCATCATTTTTGGGGTCTGATTACATGTGATCAGTCACTACCCAGCTGTGTTGCTGACTATATGTTTTCATGTGAGACGTCACTCATCAGAAAGCGTGAAGATGTGTAATTGCGCTGTGTTCAGGCGCTGCTGAAGGCCATCGATGTTCTGAAGCGTGAAGTGCTGCGTCAGCGGCAGGAGAAAGAGGAGCTGGAGGCCACGGTTCGAGAGCAGGTCTGCGCTGAGATGATGGAGGTCATCAGCCGCATGCAGGAGGACTTCAGGTACCTCTACAGCGCTTCTGTGGATCAAAAAGAGTAAGATGTTGTGGACCATTTGGATGTTTTAAGTTCCTTCCTTGTGCAGCGAGACGCTGGAAACCGAGAGGGGTCTGATGGAGAAGAGATGTGAGAACAAACTTAACAACTTGAAGAGCAGCCTGAAGAAATATTACAGCCAGGAGCTAGAGGTCAGTGATGTTCGAGAGCATACAGTCATCTGTGAATCTGACAATTCAACCAAACCCTGTACAAACCTGCTATTAACATCAGATTAGTTACTGCGGTTTAAAAGATCGTCAGCAGGATGTTTGTTGTTTTGAAAGAAGTCTCACCCCATATTGACAGAAAAACACAGATTTGTTGACATTTTTGCAGATTTATTCAAAAAGAAAAACTGAAATATCACATGGTCTTAAGTATTCAGACCCTTTGCTGTGACACTCATATATTTAACTCAGGTGCTGTCCATTTGTTCTGATCATCCTTGAGATGGTTCTACACCTTCATTTGAGTCCAGCTGTGTTTGATTATACTGATTGGACTTGATTAGGAAAGCCACACACCTGTCTATATAAGACCTTACAGCTCACAGTGCATGTCAGAGCAAATGAGAATCATGAGGTCAAAGGAATTGCCTGAAGAGCTCAGAGACAGAATTGTGGCAAGGCACAGATCTGGTCAAGGTTACAAAAAAATTTCTGCTGCACTTAAGGTTCCTAAGAGCACGGTGGCCTCCATAATCCTTAAATGGAAGACGTTTGGGATGACCAGAACCCTTCCTAGAGCTGGCCGTCCGGCCAAACTGAGCTATCGGGGGAGAAGAGCCTTGGTGAGAGAGGTAAAGAAGAACCCAAAGATCACTGTGGCTGAGCTCCAGAGATGCAGTCGGGAGATGGGAGAAAGTTGTAGAAAGTCAACCATCACTGCAGCCCTCCACCAGTCGGGGCTTTATGGCAGAGTGGCCCGACGGAAGCCTCTCCTCAGTTCAAGACACATGAAAGCCCGCATGGAGTTTGCTAAAAAAACACCTGAAGGACTCCAAGATGGTGAGAAATAAGATTCTCTGGTCTGATGAGACCAAGATAGAACTTTTTGGCCTTAATTCTAAGCGGTATGTGTGGAGAAAACCAGGCACCTGTCCAATACAGTCCCAACAGTGAAGCATGGTGGTGGCAGCATCATGCTGTGGGGGTGTTTTTCAGCTGCAGGGACAGGACGACTGGTTGCAATCGAGGGAAAGATGAATGCGGCCAAGTACAGGGATATCCTGGGCGAAAACCTTCTCCAGAGTGCTCAGGACCTCAGACTGGAACTAAGGTTTACCTTCCAACAAGACAATGACCCTAAGCACACAGCTAAAATAACGAAGGAGTGGCTTCCCAACAACTCTGTGACTGTTCTTGAATGGCCCAGCCAGATCCCTGACTTAAACCCAATTGAGCATCTCTGGAGAGACCTAAAAATGGCTGTCCACCAACGTTTACCGTCCAACCTGACAGAACTGGAGAGGATTTGCAAGGAGGAATGGCAGAGGATCCCCAAATCCAGGTGTGAAAGACTTGTTGCATCTTTCCCAAAAAGACTCATGGCTGTATTAGATCAAATGGGTGCTTCTACTAAATACTGAGCATTTTTCAGTTTTTCTTTTTTAATAAATCTGCAAAGATGTCAACAATTCTGTGTTTTTCTGTCAATATGGGGTGCTGTGTGTACATTAATGAGGAAAAAAAATTAACTTAAATGATTTTAGCAAATGGCTGCAATATAACAAAGAGTGAAAAATTTAAGGGGGTCTGAATACTTTCCGTACCCACTGTATATAATACTTTATTATAATATGAGTTTTTAAACACAACTGAGTGAAGGTTATGTTATTATATGTACAGGACGTGTGTTTTTGACGGTTTCTGGTGTCTTGAAGGAGCGAGATGAAGAGATCCGAGAGCTCACTGCTGCTCTGAAGGAGAAGGAAGAGGCTCATATCGCTCCCGCTCATATTTTCCCGCCTCTGAGTGACGTCAGTGCTCCGCGGCGTTTGGCTTCATCACACAAGCGAGACGCGGATCCCGAGAGCGAGGAGCTGGAGCTGAAGACGCTCGGTAAGCTGGAACCAGATTCAAAGATCAAATCAACTGCAGAGCTGAAGCGACTCCAGGAGAGCGGGCCCCTGGCGGGAGCCACAGGGACCCTGACGACTTCAGCCGAGCGCAAGCTGCAGGAGGGCCAGCGGGTCAGTGCTTCTGCCTCAACATCTGCATTTACTCTTTTAGCAGACACACACATGAGGAATACCACACGTGATTGATCATTAAGTGGCTATAAACACGAGGATTGCTTGTAGGGGTGTGCGATATATATGGTCTGTAATATCATAATTGTTGTTTTAATGATGTGCAATTTGACATTGTAGGAGTGTTTTGAATGGTTTTTGCAAAATACTCGATAGAGCGCACGCATACATTACGTGACGTCTAGACTAGAGCGAGTGTGTTCTTTCACTGCATGATTCAGAATGATCACAAATTCAAGACACGGGGCAGAAAATTTATACATTTATACCACTTCATACAGTTAATCAATCAATTTCACACAAAGAGTGCTGCTTCTTCTCCAAAAATTAGCATGATTACAAATGTGATAATTTTACGTTAATTAAGAGACGTTTTAGACACCATATTGCCTGTTTTTGTGCTATTTCGCCAACAAAAATAATTCCAAACACAGCCACAGCACTGTTTTGTGTCTCTGAGCAACATGACGGTGTTTCGTTCCTGAATGAATCAACTGTTTAAATGATTCGGTTCAATCGCAGTGACTCACTTATTATCAGTGACTTGCTGCCACCTGCTGGTGGTTTTAATTTCACATTTAAAGTATCTTTTTATTATTTACATAATTTCAAATAACAGTATTCAACGTTTTATGTTTAGTATATCAAAATATTATTTCTGCATTTGTAATTGCAGGTTAAATGCATTCATGTCTTGCACTAAACAGTGTGTAAATGCATCTAAATGCCACTTCAGACACAGCTCCTGTGTTTTTTGACAATTGTGTTGATACTGATTTAATTTGCTTGGTAACAGCCCAAATGTCTTATTATTCTAATTCACTGATTAAATGTAAGAATTTGACTCAAAAGATGATGCACACTTTTAGTAAAAAAAAAGAATGGCTTTATAAAGGTAAAAATGCCCATAAAAGGTAAAAATCAGTTTAAACGTATTGAAAAAGATGAATTTCTATCAGTGTGAACTGACCACTACACAGAATATGGAGAATATCAAAAACTTTGAGTCAGTTTAAGACGCCATCACAATAACAAAATATCGTCTAATTGTCGTTATCGATAAAATCCCAGAAAATATCGAGATGTTATTTTTTGTCAGTATCGCACAGCCCTCAGTGCTCGTAATACGCTTCAGATGTGGTTTAGAGCAGTACAGCTAGAGACGGAGAGCTTTGGAAGAGGCTCTTAAATACTGATAAAAGTGTGAGGGTGAAGAAATAACCCGTGTGAAGACTTGGTCTTGTAATGTGTAAAATCAAGTTTTGTCAGACAAAAAAAACTTACTTATTTTCATGCATAATTTTAATCGGCATGAATGATTTTTACAATACCAAGGGCAATAACTGACGATGATTGCAGATAGTGTCACTTATTTCAGAAAAGCTGTTATAAAACATCTTCAGTAGTAAATGATTAATGTATTTGTATTTATTTATTTTTGACTTTAATCCCTAAGGCTACTATGAATTTATAAATATAATATTGTTCATTGTTAATTTATGTCTGTTCATAATCAGGATTTTTGTGAGTCTTAAAAAGTCTTCTACAAATTAAGGCCTAAAAAAGTCATGGCTTTAAATGTTGCACACAGTGCAAAAAATCAACATGTTCCTCAGTACTTTTGTCATCTTTTCCAATACAGTTTTATTGGAGATGCTTAATGATGAATTGAAAAATTGAGCTGCTTTAAAACAAGAACAAATATCTGTCATTCTGGGAGTGAAAACCTGTTTTGCCTTTGATTTAAGCTGCTTTTCAGAGACCATTAGCAGATATTGGTTTTGTTTTAATCATAAACTCACTTCATTTTTTTTTATTAGTTTTTAACAGAAAACATGATGACTTTTCTATTGAGTTCTCTTCTGTTGATTTCATCAGTATTTCTGTCTTGTTTTCCAGAAGAGTAACAGTTGTTCCAATATTCTAGTGTTTTCAAACCTATAATTTTAATCGGCATGAATGATTTTTACAATACCAAGGGCAATAACTGACGATGATTGCAGATAGTGTCACTTATTTCAGAAAAGCTGTTATAAAACATCTTCAATAGTAAATGATTAATGACACGGCCAAAAGATTTGTATTGATTTATTTTTGGCTTTAATCCCTAAGGCTACTATGAATTTATAAATATAATATTGTTCATTGTTAATTTATGTCTGTTCATAATCAGGATTTCTGTGAGTCTTAAAAGGTCTTCTACAAATTAAGGCCTAAAAAAATCAAGGCATAAAGTCATGGCTTTAAATGTTGCAAAAAATCAACATGTTCCTCAGTACTTTTGACATCTTTTCCAATACAGTTTTATTGGAGATGCTTAATGATGAATTGAAAAATTGAGCTGCTTTAAAACAAGAACAAATATCTGTCATTCTGGGAGTGAAAACCTGTTTTGCCTTTGATTTAAGCTGCTTTTCAGAGACCATTAGCAGATATTGGTTTTGTTTTAATCATAAACTCACTTCATTTTTTTTTATTAGTTTTTAACAGAAAACATGATGACTTTTCTATTGAGTTCTCTTCTGTTGATTTCATCAGTATTTCTGTCTTGTTTTCCAGAAGAGTAACAGTTGTTCCAATATTCTAGTGTTTTCAAACCTTACGCTATTGTTTGTAAAATGAATTCAAGTAATGCTGATTGGTTGGAATTATTTCAAACTCTGTCTGCTAATGTTACTAAGCTGCTACTAGTGTTTG